TGGCCAAAAAATAGGTGCGTCACGACCCCTTCCGATCCACCGACTAGGATACTGCTTGCAAATGTATTTTCGGACTTCATTACTGTAATGCGGTGGAGCGCCATCTTGTAGACACCACATATTTTGCCTTATTGCAATATTCACTTCTTCCAAATACTCTTGTAAATCGTTTGCCAAGAACTGCAAATAATTATCGCCATTTAAATTGTTGGGAAGAAATACTGGGACTATTAGATTGTTATCCACATTCTTGCCCAAACATTAACTTTGAAAGTCCTTTGGTGACGAGTCTTTATTTGGCGTGAGAATTTTCGTCGGCCCAAATGTGCTCGTTATGATGATTTGTTATTCCATTTCTACTGAAGGTAGCCTCGTCGGTAAACAATATATTTCTAATAAAATTAACATTTAGAGTGTTTTTCATTAACAACCAATCGCAAAATCCAATACTTTTATTATCAATATTTATCGCATTGTTAAGTGATAGGGTTTACGCAGCTGATTCTTCAAACGCTTCCAAACCCTTACGTAAGGAACATTTAGTTGAGCAGCTATTACCCTTGTACTTGTTCCAATGACTTCTTCAATGATTTCTAAAATGTCTTCATCAGTTGCATCCATTATTGGACGACCACTATTGCCAGCAACTTGCGGTTGGAATGTACCCGTTTCCCGTAAACGACGATTAATGGTCAGAAATAATCGTCTATCGGCTGTATTTTGATTGGGGTATTTTACTACATAACGCCTTGCGGCCACTATTTCCTTGACATTCACCTACGATATTCCCGATAGTTTAATGAAATCATAATTTAATCTGATCCAACTTACCCAAAGTTATGAAGTGTGTAGGCTATTGTAATATCAAAATGTTTAATAATAATCTTCAAAGCTAAATAGTTTCAAATTATTGACTATTATTGATGGAACTGTTTGTAATTATTGTATCCGTAGAAACTAATTGTAATTTTATGGCCAACTAGGAAAAACTAGTTTTTCGAAAAAGTAGTAAGTTTAAAAATAATGTTTATAAAATTCCAGTACCAAATATTAATAAAATTATTTAAATTTAGACACAAATGCATTTACAAAATAAAAAATTTATTAAAAATGTTAACGCTCTGTGTCTCAGACAGAAAGAGTTTGGATCTATGTTTATATGAATTTTTTTCGACCTTTTCACACAAGGAAAAAGTCATTAAATGTTTATGCAACATTAATAAATCACCATGTACAATAAATTAAAAATATAAATATTAATTAAATAAAACAATAATATTTGTCATTTCAAAGTTAGGCAAAGGCGACATACGTCAGACAACCCTCTCCAAAAACAGGCATGGCAAAAATCGGAAATGCTCGAAGATTACGTGAGCAAATGGACAATGATCCAACACTCGCTAACATCCGTCATTTCGTGCAGGATGGATAGGGAGACGAGGAATCGTTGAGTAGCCCACAAGGACATGTGACCTGAAACCCTGTGATTTCTTCCTGTGGGGCGCGTTTGTGCAAGAGGAACACACATCCTTCCCGACCTCCGAACTGCAACTGAAGAAGAATTTGATTCTTCGCGGACAGCTTTACATGCTTCACCGGACCTGCTTCTCAATAACGGGCATCAATTTAACACTGTTATGTGGCCACGGGACCTTTTTCAAATCCCTTTTGTAATTTCTTTGAATAAATTCATTTTGACGCTGCATTTTTTCTCTTAATGCAAACTTGTTCGCTGAATTATGCCGAACCTTGTATTTAAAATAATATTATTCTGTGTAATGATTATGATACTTACCATTTTCACATTTAATTTAATTTCAACACCCCATAAAATGACAACAAATAAAAAATATCGCCAATATTTTCTACATCTTCCCATTTTCTTGTCTGAATATCAAATATTAACTGATTGGCAAACTTGCAAACGCTTTCTGCTGTTTTAATTTATACCTACTGGTAAATTTTTTCAAATCCACGAATAATCCACGAAAGTTTCAAATCTGTACACAATATCATTCCGACAAATTTGGACCTCTAAACAAAGTCTAACGATTTACAGATACTGCAAAATAGGTATTCGGATATTATATTGTTTTAAAAATACAATCATCATCATCATAAGTTGCTCGACAATTAGTTGTGGATCTTGGCCTGCTCACAAAGAAGTCATTCTTGTCATTCGATGTCGATTCCTGGCAACTTTCCTCTATCTTCTAACCCTTAGAATCTGTAATAATAGTAATTATTGGAATATTAAGTGTAATACAGCTATCAACTCTTTCTCCGTAGTGGTATAATTTGTTATTGAATTTCTTTCTAGTATAAACAAACGGATGTTCCAACCCATCTTTTAGTTAAAAAATAACACAACCAACACCAAAATCAAATATCAAAAAGAACGGTTTCTGAAAATCAGGGCTGCTTAAGACAATATAATGTCTTTCTGTCTTCGACAGAATTCGACAGTCCCCGACATTTCAAAAAAATTCGCAATAGGGGTAGCCAATGAAGAGTAATCTGTAATAAACCGACGATAATAACCAATTCTTCTTCTTAGCCTTCTGTCGTCCATGTTTGGACATAGGCCTCTCCCAACTCCTTCCATCGGCCTTTATCCTGAGCAACATATTTCCAATTTGTTCCGGATTTTCTTTTAATGTCATCAACCCATCTTATCTGTGGTCTTCCTCTTGGTCGTTTACTTTCGTTAACCAATTGTACCAATTAATCTACGAACCTGAGTAGAAGTTCTAGAGGTAGGAAAATCACATATAATCCAAACTTTTTCCGGATCAGTACGCAGCCCCTTATCATTTACGACATAACCTTAATACTTTAGCGAATGTCGACAAAAATTACACTTTTTATAATAAAAGATAAGATTGGCAGCATTAATAATTGGAATAATAGTAATTATTAACACCAAATATAAAATAATATTTTAATTATTTTTTCAGTAATAACAAAATATTTAATTTTTGAGATTTCCATAAAAAATTTAAAATTCAAATTGTATAAAAAATGAATATCTGGTTAAAATAAATAATACTTATTTGATAAGAATCTTGGGATTGGCGCTCCTTTGGGGTACCGCACGTGCCGGTTACAGGGCACTGTTTTTACTGCGATACACTAGTTACTAGACTAATATTATGAATATCCGTGTTTTTAAGATCCTATCGAATGGAAAAGAGAGGCAAAATACCTAGGAGTCACTATTGACCAAGGTTTAACCTTCACGCAACACGTGGAAATTCATCCAAAAAATAGCAACAACACGAGCAGCAATAAGAGGATTCACAGGTAGAAAAAGAAAACTGCGCATAGAGACGAAAGTTAGACTGATAAACAGCATCATACTTCCAATAATCACATATACGCATCTCTCGCCTGGGGATACATAAGCAATTCAAATAAAAAGAAAATACAAGCATTTCACAATAACATCCTCAGAGAAGCGACAAATATACCCAGATACGTCGCTGAACGCTTTCTGTTTAGCGAACTGCAACAAGTAAGGGTGATAGATAAAATGGTAGAAAAGGTATAGTTAGGTTTGCGGAATTAGGGGATCATCAAAGCCCGATCCTGAGAGAAATAATAAGATATGATGCGTTTCATCGATGGAAGTACAAAAGACCAAAACAGCAAATCGTGGCAAACACATAAAGTGTAGATAATTCGTAGCACTACCAACAGAAGAAGCCCCAGCATTCAGCACTGGAAATTTTATTAATTGATGTTTATTTTGAGGACAATAAAATAAATAAATAAAGGTTTTGATCACCAAAAAAATCAAAAAATACTAATAAGAAGGCGACAGTCATTAACAAAACCCCAAAATCTAGGCACGACGGGCCCATATCCTCGGACACCAAGTCGCCGAACTGAGCGCAACGCGAAGCGGAAACTCGAGGCTTCAGCAAGCAATTCAGTTCGATGATACGTCACTAGGGAAAGCAGGAAAAGAGCGCATTAAGCTAGCCTGCATTGATCGGGTTAGGATATCGTGTTAAAGTTGTTGTACCCAGGACTTCCACACGAAAAGCATTTGGCTGCCGCATCAGAGTATCAGAGTGCTTTGGGGGGGGGTGGAAAAGGGATGGCTTGGAGTATTGGAGCGCGGTAATGCACCTCGCTCCAATGAATTGTTACATCCAAACGTAATTCTTAGTGGTCAACAAGTCTCACAGGCTGGGTTTACTTAAATTCCTTGCTTGCTTATGTTTTTAAGGTATGTGTAAATCTTTTCTTTCGATTTAATTACTTATCGTCAGGATTTCTTTATTTTAATTCAATTTAATTTAAATATATATATATATATATATATATATATATATATATATATATACCATTATTTTTATGATTTATTACTTCCACGCTTTTTATGTTGTGAATTCTTTCTTTTATTACAATATTAACATAGAGGTCGTTTATTTACGCTGTAGTTGTACAAAATACTGCGCTGAATTTTAAAATTATGTATAAAATTATTTTAAATACACATTATGTAAAATACTTCATAATAATTTAAAATAATTTATTATTTATAAACAAAATGCAATATTTACCAATACCAATATATACTGTGTTTATAATTTAACCTTCTGTACAAAGTTAAGTAAAAATTGGTATGAAAAAAAAACACAGATTGAGTTTCATATCTAGCCTTAAAAGATAATGAAGTCAATTTAGGCTGGTATATTTTTACATTTAAGCAATCGATGTCTAGCCACCAAATTTGATACAAGGAGATTTGATGTTACACAATCGACTTCTAACGAAACGAACACACCGATGCAATGTCAAGAGTTGCAAAAAAATAACTGATACCTTGTGTGTATTCTCGTAATGAATAATGAGAATACTAAAAATAATTATTTTTAACGATTTGTATAGCTAATGTAGTATCTGAAAAAATGTTAAGCTATATATATCGTTCCAACTATTCAACTTAAATATATTTTTTTCAGATATCTGTCCACTTACTGTGTTAAAATATGTTAACACCATTTTGGAGGGACCATTTTGCACTCAAAAACTTTTATTTACTTCATGACGATCCAAATGTATTTATTACAAGCCAAGTAAGTGTTTTATTGATATTTTCTTCTCCTAACACAACAAAGCAAACGGTAATACATTCCTCAATAATTAAATTGGACAGTGCTGGATTTTTAAATTATAGGTGCTAGTCCTTGGAATAAAGGAAAATCCTGTTATAATCACCAAATTAATTTTCTGTTTTAGTACACTACCGTCAAATTAATCATTAAAAGTATTTTTTTTTATAAAAAATATTAAATTGAGTTTAATAAGGTTGAAATAAAATTGTGCCGGTTTTTCTTTTTGTTTATGTTGACGGAAAATTTATCTTTAATAGCAGGCATACTGTAATTTCATTTATTTATAAAATATCTATATTTTTTAACTCAATATTCTCCCTGCTGCTGCCTTATTTAAGCTGAACAATTTCATAACGTTCGTATCAAATAGTGTTAAAACATATTAAGATATCGTTAATGGCGCAATTATCGTACCTATACCATGGTGATCTCAAATCTACTAGGTATCTACTATCTTCTGACCTGCATAAACAAACAATTAATTGGAAACGTTCAAAATGTTGTTTTCTTGAGCTAAATACTGTAACTTCAAGTTTAAAAAATACGTAGGGAACAGTAGTACACAATAAGGCATGGTAAATAATAAGACATGTAATTTTTTTTCAAATTTACCGCCAAGATTTAATTCTGCAACCATTATCACAGAAATGTCATTTTAGAGCGCCAGTCCAAATATTACTATTTCATTCATGATTCATTTCATTCGTAAAAGTTGCAGTGATAAACTATTTAATTAAGGTAAAAAATTACCTTTTATATAGTTTTCTTTACTTATTATCGAAACAATGTTGATTTATGTCAATTTGCAAAAGCGTACCTACCTAAAATACCACTGTTAAGTTAGTCTAACCTCCAATACTCGTGTCTCAAAACTAAGACTGAGACTGTCTCATGCTAAAGTTTGTACCAAGTATGTATGCTATAATAATATGTTGTATCGGTAGAATAAAAGTTTATGTTTGTTACAGGCATTACAGAAATATGTCACAAAAAACGTATCTAGTAATACAGATAATGATCGAATGGAACCCATTTATAATGTACGACGTGTGTTTTCAGAGGAACAGGAAATTTATTTGTGTGATTATATCAAAACTTGTACCAAAATGAGATACGGATTATCAATCATTCAAGCGCGAAAGGTAGCATATGATATGGCTATTAAAAACGATATTCCATTTCCAGCGAATTGGATCAAGGATAAAATAGCTGGATTCCAATGGTTACGTTCATTTTTAAATAGACGTGAAAATCTCAGTATACGTCAACCAGAGGGCTGCAGTTTATCAAGATTAACATTATTTAATCCACACAATGTCAACAACCTTTTCGACAAATTACATGCCGTTTATGCCAGATATCCATTAGCTGTGTCTAATATCAGGATATATAACTTTGATGAGAATAGTACAACAACATTGCAGAAACCTAAGGAAGTCGTGGCGAAGAATGGTGTAAAACAGCTGAATGGTTGTATTGATGAATAGCGAGCTATTTGTCAATGTTATGAAACACTTAATTAAATTTAGCGACAGTTTAATTAAAAACCCTTCTATACTGATCTACGACAATTACGAGAGTCACATAACATATCACGTTGTTTAACTGGCAAAGGATAATAATTGATAACAAATTGCAACCCCTCGATGTTTCAATTTTTGCTTCGTTTAAAGCTTATTACAATGGCCTTATAGACTCATAGTTGCTGAGTCATCCTGGTAAACCTATTTCAATATACCAGATAGCACTACAAAGAAAAGCTACAATATTTTATCGAAAGGGCTGTGCGATGATAATGGAAATCTACAACTAGACCCCGACAAAATAGTTAGAATCTGGGAAACTCCTAGTGGGTGTACACTGAGCAATGATGATACTGGCCCTTCTATTCTAAAATCAGAAGTGGAGAATGCTATAAAGGGTCTTAAAAATAACAAAAGACCAGGCAACGATAACGTATACGGGGAAGTATTGAAAATGCTGTGCGAAACAAACAGTCAATTTCTAGACTCACTCGTCAGACTCTTTAATAATATTTATAACAGCGGGGAGTTTCTTGAAGACTGGCTAGAGTCAACTTTTGTTGCCATACCAAAAAAAACTAAAAGCAAAGTCTTGTGATCAACATCGGATGATAAGTCTAATTAAACACATTTCGAAGGCATACACCAAGGTTATTTACAACAGAATAAGCAAACAATGCGAGGATAACATTGGAGATTCGCAGTTTGGGTTTCGGAATTCTCTTGGACAAGAGAAGCACTTTTTAGTCTACAGGTACTCATCCAGCGCTGCAGAGATATGAACAAAAACGTGTACATAATATGCTTTATAGACTACACAAAAGCATTCGATAACGTAAAGCACGAAAAGATAATTGAAGTTCTCCATAAGATCGGAGTCGACTACAGAGACATTCGAACAATAGCGAGTCTCTTGTCACCTCGGAGTAAATGGAAAGGGTCTAAATCACCTTCTATACCACCGTGTGCTCTGTAGAGGGCTTCGAGAACGTCTACGAAAGTACCTCTACCCAAGTCCGTTTACAGGATACGAACTTGTAAAGGTTTTGCTGATGGACCCGTCTTGAAAAAAGACGGGTTATTTCTTACATGACGAAAATATTTAAGTCGAAATAAACCATCAGGTTCTCTTCTTTCGGTGACTTGCCTTGATAAAGGCAAGTTATTTCTTACATAAACAAAATAATGCAGGTCGAAATAAAACACCAAAATTCACGTTGAATAATAACTCCAGCCACAGAGTATGGGAAAATCTAAAACCAAGAAAGCAGAGCCCCGAGAGCACTAACCTCTCGGAGGGCCCGTGAAGGACTGAACTTGATTGACCTGAAAATCGCCCATTTTTATACTTTCTGAAGTAGCGATTAGGGATTTCCAGGTCAGGGAGGGGCCAACGGGAAAAATAAGGGGCGGGGCGATGCGTCTCGAACGTGAACTAGTCGCGTCCGAGAACACTCTATTGGGATCAAACAGCTAAAGTGAAAGTAGGATCTACATTGACCAATAAAATTGAGATCAAGAAAGGGGTACGACAGGGCTGTATCTTGTCTCCAATTCTCTTTAATATATACTTAGAAGAAGTATTTAAGACAGCGCTGGAGGAAAGCACAGAAGGCATAAAGATAAATGGAGAAATAATTAATAACATAAGGTATGCTGATGAGACTGTGATTCTAGCAAGTAGCATGGAGGAACTGAGTTGCCTAATGAGTAAAATACAAAAAACTAGTGCACAATACGGACTCAGACTAAATATCACAAAAACCAGATGGATGTTAGTAAGCAAAACCCAACAACCAACACAGCAACTGATATTAGACAATGAAAGAATTGAACACGTGGATTCGTACATCTACTTGGGAGCAACAGTTAACTCAAATTGGGATCAAGCGAAGGAAATACGTATAAGAGTAGAAAAGGCAAGAGCATCGTTCACTAGCATGAAGCAAATTTTCACCTCTAAAAGCCTCACCCTACCTCTCAAAATTCGACTTCTGAAATGTTATGTATTCCCGGTTTTGTTATATTGAATGGAGGCGTGAACAATGACCGCAACATTGATGAAAAAAGTAGAGGCCTTAGAAATGTGGGCTTACCGACGTATAGTACGTATATCCTGGACTGAGCACGTGACCAACGAAGAGGTACTACGCCGGATAGGTAAAGAGAGAGAGGTAGGAATAAGTATAAAGAAAAGAATGTTGGAATACTTGGGTCACGTTATGAGACATAATAAATATAGAGTACTACAGCTGATCGTTCAATGTAAAATAGACAGCAGAAGGGGTCCAGGGAGGAGAAGACACTTGTGGCTCCAAAACTTGCGGCAATGGTTCGGATTGTCATCTGCTGAACTATTCAGATCTGCCGTAAGCAAAGTCAGAATAGCCATGTTGATTGCCAACGTTCGGAACGGACAAGGCACATGAAGAAGAAGAAGATAGCACAATGTGTGAGAGAGGTACATATGAAATCATTAACGCCTACTAATATTCTGTCAGGTTTTAATAACGAGAATTTTCCCCTTAATAGAGATATTTTTTCTGAAGTTGACTTCATTGGAAGTTCTGTGAATGATAGACCAAATGAAACTGAAAAGACAAATCCACAACCAGAGTCGACAGAAATATCTATTGTGGTTTCTAATTAAGTTATAACGTATGTCCCTAAAGTTTTCGGATAATGTTAGATTTAAAAATATTATTGGTAGGAAGCATTGGATCAAGTTGCCATTGGAAATCAAAGTAAAGAACTTAAATGATATAAACAACGTCACTTTTAACAAATACGGAAGATGTACAAACTTAATATTCGTCAAAGTATTTATCGTTTAGATGGGCATGTACCAAAACGCGATATTGTAAGAATTTTTAGCTCTCAAAATATTTCTGTCAACGATTTACTAGACAATTAAAGAGTACAAAAATGGTATATCATGCTTTAATTTACCCAAAAGTGGAAGACCAATAGTTTTAACTCCTGCTCGAGAACAGAGATTAATTCAGAATATGGAGAACCAATTAGGAAAGTCTTTGCGCAATGTTGGCCGAAGATAAATGTTTCAAGAATGACTGTAAGTAGAACAATTTCTAGGAATAATTTAAAACGATATGAAAGAAAAAAGCTCCTAAGTGCACACCAGCCCAGTTAGAAAAAATTCCTAGATGTTGTCGTGAATTGAGACGTATTCATTTTCCTGGTAAAATTTTCATTATTAATAATAAAGTATTTTACTTTATTTAATTCCTAAATAAAGGGCAACGACTGATTTTATACACGCAATGTACAAGATACACAGGACGAAGTTAGGCTGAAGGGATTAGGTTTAAGGAAAAAGTGAAATTTGCTGATAAAATTTTGATATGGTGTGCCATCTCAAGCTGGTGTTTCTCAGCCGTTTGTTGGGCGTGTTCGCGGTTAAGCTCTCAATGCCGACAATTATGTTGACAGGTGTTACAAACCTTGCTCAATTCATAAATACTCATCACCCCAATAATGAAATCATATTTTGGTTCGATCTAGCGCCATGACATTACGCCAGGAGAATGACAGATTGGTTAACTTGTCAAAATATAAATTTTGTTGCTAAGCGCGCAACCCTCCAAATGTTCCTCACGCGAGGCCTATAGAAGAGTTTTGGACTGTTCTGAGTCAAATGGTGTATCATAATGGCTGGAAAACCCAAAATAAAGATCAACTAAGGCGACGAAATTTGCAAAAATTTCGTGAGATTGACTTAGAAATAGTCCAAAGGCTTATTACAGATGTAATACCAAATTTACGTTTTATCGAAGATCACGAATCTCTTTCTGTTCTATAAAAATACATTATACACCTTAATTAATTTACTTTGTTTAGTTAATAAAATAAACTTCATTTACAATTAGAAATACATATTAATTTTTTCCGAAAACTTTAGGGATATGCGTTATCATTCTCATAGAAGACTCCTGAAAATCAAGCAGTATCCCCACAAAGGACACCTGAAAAACCGATAATGTCTCAAACCTCGAAAATCGATAGTATCATCTGCGAATTCAAGTTCGTTTATCTCCCCTCAGGAGTTTAAAGGATTTCCAAAAGCAGAAAAGAGAAAAGGTGTAAAGACAAGGAAAACAAAAAAAATGTTTAACTAATACACCTAACTTGGATCAGTTAAAACTACAGGCAGTAACTAAAAAAACTAGTTCATAGAATAATAAACGAATTAAAGTACATTTAAATCAGGTAAGCACCTGAGCACGAAAATAGAAAAAAAAAATAAACGAAGTGATAGCACTTCGTCTGAAGAGAGTGAAGAACTATTCAATTAAAATGATTTTTCTGGCGATACATTTGAAAATTGACAGTTGGTAGACGATTATGGCAATGATGTTAGTACAGAAATTTCCATTGATAGTTTTTTATTAATGATATTTGAAAACAGTACATTTTATGTTGTTAAAGTTTTCAAGACATTAGACGATAATGAATTAAAAGTGTCATTTTGAAGAAAAGGTGGTAAGCTTCAAGGCTGCTTTATTTTTCCTTTAGTTGAAAACATTGCTGCAGTAGTGAGGTCAGAAGTTGTATCAATTTTACCAAAACCAAAAAATGTAGATCAACAAAACAAGCACCTTGCATCTTTTCATTTTAAATTTGATGTAAAGTTTGACAGTATTAAGATCCGTTAAAATTTTCTTTCATTTCATTTTTTTATTTTACCTGAGAAATTTCAATTTTTAATAATAAAAACTACACTCCATGTATTTACTTTAACAAAATATTGAATTAATACCACTTGATTCATTGTGTACCACCAATGGTACTCAAGGATGACAGATGTAAATGGTTAGAAAAATAATCATAGATTTTGTTTCTTCCCTCACGAGGGAGTATTTATTTCAGATTATATGTAGCAAAGAATCATATTGATAACTGGTTAACTTAGTTTTTAGACAAATTCAAAAATGGTAATGTCAGAAATAAAAATGTATTTTTTGTCTCATTGTGTACTATTCCACTTAATCAAAATATTTAGCCAAGAAGTTTAGTTTGTCGCAGACAGGAATGTTGTATACGTACATACATCGTATAGATTTCGAAGTCAGCAGCAGGTACTTCAGTTCCGTGGCGACATAAAACAGTTGAAGTTTGGCATTAAATAAAAAAATATGGATTATTAAATGCTACAAGTCTTACTGCAAGGAGAAGAATATGAGGACAATTTGTTATTGTTTTATTGTTTTAGGAGAAATTTTACACAGACTTTGTACTTAACTAGACTGGAGGAAGGCTCTTATGAAACATTTTTCAAAAGATTTTATTCACTTTTTGGGCGATGTCATTCCAAACATTTTCTTTGAAATATCAATTTTTATAATTCGCGTTTTTGCAGTAGAATAAATAGGAATATTTAGACACTAGATCAATAAAATAATCACGTTCTTCGTTTTTTAATACTTTCAAGTCATCCAACTTTACGAAGGCACTAATGGCAGTACTGTGTCCAAGTGTGTCGTCTGCGATCGAGCGGCACAGCAACTGATGTTCTGGTTGCAACTGGTGGCAGTTGCAGTCAGATGTTGGAATCGTTCTAGTACAAATTAATACTGCAAAGTAATGACAACTGCCGCGGCACCAACTGCTCTGCAGTTGCTGTTTGCTGTCTGCAGTCGTTGTTGAAATCGTACCTTTACAGGCCGTGCCTCTGACGGAACGTCTGTATTTTTGATGCGAGATGCGAGAGCTGAAATAATCGTGACCTATCAGTGAGAGACAAAATCGGTAGGAGGGAAAGAAAATTAGTATTTTTATACACCTATATGTATGTAAAAACATTCAAGATATTTCAGGTAAAAAGTCGAACATTTTTCGAAGCAAGTTGTCTATCTCTTCGTCTAGACTAATCTCGATGTCGTTTCAGATCCGTGTTTGTTACAAAATCATCTCGAATTCTTATTTTCGGTCATACATAAATGCCCGCTGTAGTTTTTTTTTCTTTATGAGCTTCATCGCGGTTTGACATACTAATTTTTTTTTATCTTCGATAATACGGCCTCTAATACGATCAAGTTCCATAGTTTACGCCCTGCAGTGCTCACTTTACAGAAGTAGTGATCACGATAGCATAAAGAACTCCTCCACCAGGACAATATCTTAAGTTTTATTAGAAGTATGCTGCAACATTTAACAGAGGAACATACGTTAAAAAATTACAAATAAACTCATTTCAGTGTTTAGTTTCTTTGGATAAAATTTTTTATAGTTGATATAATCTCACCTTACAAAATTATCAAGATCGAATAAGAAGTGCTCCTCTATCACGATATGTTTTCACTGCTCTCAAATGAATAATTTTGTTTAAAATCTATTTTAATTATTTTTTTTTGTTTCAGTGGCAGAGAAATAAGACTGAACCTAATATCAAGTACCTTATATATCGCACAATTGTAATGCTAATATTTTTTATTACGTGGATAATTTCAATAATAGAAGGCAGCGGTAGCGGTAAATATCCGATTTATTTGACCAACTGGGGATACACGGGATGTACAATTCAAGCTCTTATAGGGTTTTTGATGCTGTTTATGGCAGTGCTGGCATCTAAATACAAAAGTATGTACAGTACAAAAGAAAAAGCTCTAAAACTTTATCCTGTTTATTGGTTATTAAATACTGTAGCGACTCCTACTGCATTTGCGATTACCACTATCTACTGGTCTGTTATATATAATCGTAAGTATTATCAAATATGACCTAATATACAATTCATTCAAATTCTTTCAACATTACCATTCATATGTTTGTAGCAATGTAATATTTAATGAGGGCAAAGTAATTACCCAAAACAAGTAAAAACTTCATGTTTATATTATTAAGATGCAACATTTATGTATATGCACTGCTATTATCGCTTGCGTGAACACACATATCACTCAGAGCTGGGGTTCTACAAAAATTGTTGTTTTATTTATATTGTCCATATGAGTCATTTTTTTGTGTTGTGTCTAATTGCATTGTTGTTTATATGCTCTTTTATTAGTTGTATAATCTCTTTAGTAATTGTTGATAAGGGTGCAGTGATTTTGTTTCTCTTTATACTGCCATTTTTATATCTTTATTTGACTAATTCTGGTACTTAATTTAATCTGAGGTTTGATGATGGTCTAGGAAACATTTACTACTATTAAGTAGGAGAGTTATAATGTAAAACCCTTGGAATGCGCCGCGACCTAAACCCTAGCCCATATCATATCCCCACCCTCAACCTAGGAGTTTAGGAAGCTGCTTGATAAAAGCTACCGAAGACTAACCCGACCAATACTCAAGGTTCTAGGTTCCAAGTGCTTTCCGGTGGAAAGCCTGGAGAGACTTAATGGAACTAAGCAAGATTGGTCGCCAAGATGTCAACAGGGTGCCATATTGATGGAATGCGGACATCGAAACACTAAGAAAAGTATGTATAGCAATGAGAAGAAGGTTAACAAGAGCAAGAGGCAGAGCAGGAATCAATCCTGAGGTCATCGACGAGATCGAGGAAGACTACCGCGCAAGTAAGAGGGAACTGTACAGGAAAATACGTACAGAACAAAAAGGCACTGGAAAGAGCTGTGTGAAAAACTGGATGAGGACATCTGGGGTCAGGGATACAAGATCGTCATGAAGAAGTTCCATGCGTATCCTCCTTACGAAATGCCTATGGACAAGAAGCTTGAGGTAACAAGAGAGCTCTTTCCGGACGGCAGATGTCATGGTGTATGGAGGGATGAAGGAGCTGAACGTACTGTACCCTTTACCATGGATGAACTTATCGAGGCATTGGGTTCACTGAAGACTCGTAGGTACCCCGGACTGGATCAAATACCACCTGAGGCGGTGAAGGGTCTAGGACGGATGGAGCCTGCGTGGCTTCTGGAACACATGAATGCACTGCTGAAAGCACAAACCTTTCCTGAGCCTTGGAGGACATCGAGGTTAATACTGCTTCCCAAAGCTAGGGAAAAGTATCGCCCCATCTGTCTTCTTCCATGCATCAGTTAGTTATATGAAAGGATGCTGCGAGTACGCATAGACGACATGATTGAGAGGTCAGGTGGTTTATCTCGGAGGCAATTTGGTTTTTGTAATGGTAAAAGCATAATTGATGCAATCATGAGTGTACTCGAAGCATTGCGCAACAGAGGGAATGAACATCGTTGGGCGGTCCTGCTATTGTTTGATGTTAAGAATGCATTCAATACGCTGCAGTGGAACGAGGTAATAAAGGCAATGGAGGATTATGTCCTGGTTACTTGATGAATGTTGTGGTGGAGTATCTGTCTGAGAGAAGGATTATGGTGAAAAAGGGCACGATCGTGGACGTGACGGCCGGGGTACCCCAGGCATCTGTCTTGGGCCCAACGCTATGGAATCTGGCATATGAGGGGTTATGCACTGTGAATACGGAGAGGGTACAACCCCCTTCGCATTCGCTGATGACCTCGCTGTACTGGTAGTAGCCCGGGATGAGCCAGATCTCAAATACCGGGTTCGGAACGCAGGTGGCGTCGTAAAGAAATGGATGACGCAGCACGGACTAAAACATGCGACAGAGAAAACCGAAGCCATTATTCTGAAGAGAACAAGGAACAGGCAAGGTGTTGAATTAAAGTGTGCGGGAGCATGTCTAACACCCAAGAAACAAATAAAGTATCTAGGAGTGACATTGCACCAAAATGGAAAATGGGGGGAGCACGTTCGGGAGGTGGTCCGAAAGGCTGCGAATAGTGCGGCTGCGTTGGGGAGGGTGATGCCGAACATTGGAGGACCCAAATCCGAAAGGAGGATTGTCTTACATGGTGTTGTACAGTCTATCGTCGTCTACGCGGCACCAGTCTGACAGGCTGGAAGGCCAACAGAATGGAGAGAGAGACAGGTGTGAATTTTATTACAGTGAGAGAAATGATTGAGAGAATGATTGAAAATAAATTAGGTTAGAAAACATACACAGCTATATTCGCGCAGTGGTCAAGAAAAAGGAGGAGGAAGAAAGACAGCTGGACCAACGCAAAGGTAAGAGTGAATGATGCTGAAAGGTGAAGTTAGAACAGTGGGTCACACTGGTTGAGTTAGAATGCGTGAGTCTGACTGTGGGAAGGAGGAAATGAATGTCTGGGAATGATGCTGAACTAGAAGCGATAAGGGTCTTCTACGCGCTACCTGGAACGAGGCAGGGAGCCTCCTTGCTGATGAATAGAGAATGAATAAAGGTAGTGCTTCGGAAGTGATGTCGGCCTTACAGCGGCCATTCCGCTTCCGCATCGCTGGATGACAGAGGAGGGTCTGGTTTAGCAGGTAGGCGTTCGGCGTAGACTCAGCGACGAGAGGGCATTTTAAAGTACCTCGAAAACTATCGCCGGGAGTACGAAGGACGAATCCTGCACTAAGGTTAGTCAGGCGGCGTCCTAGACTGAGATGTCTTTTGAAGATTCCAGACCCCCCTCTATAAGTTCCAAGTGTATAGTAAGGATATTTGGAAATTGTCATGTTCATCCCCTCCCATATTCGACTATCCTGATATTCAAATTATATTGATCTTTGTGAGTAAGAGCTCTTGAAGAAAAAAAACTAGCACGAAATTAACTTAGACTGCTTCTAGAACCCAAAAAACTGTCTAAATGTTCGAGTAGATAGTCGTAGTGTTGGATTCGTTGGGACCCTATAGGACCTTCTTGAAATTGTATCGTCTGTTTTTCTATCTGTCTCTCTATCTCTGATAAAATTCTTGAAAAAAATATCCTAGAGTCTTAGAACTTGTTATGTAAATTCTTCTTGGTTCTTGGATCAGTGGGCCAAAGACCACCAAACAAACAGATAAAAAAATAAATTTATTATTATACATACCACGTGACCCATTTAAATTGGAAATTGAAAAAAGGACTACGATCCTGAGTACTTCCAAATAGCTATGAAAAAAAAAATTCATAAAAATATGTTTAGTTACAACGAATAACATCTTAAAATTCGGAAACTGACCAAACGAAAGTCACAAATGAACACCCTGTATATAAAACATCTACTTCTGGACAAAAGTTTATATGGCTACCTTAGTGAGTTTGATTATGAAAATATTCTAGCATAGTTAATACCTATATTATTTATATTTTTATGTCATTTTGGTCATAGCTATTTGAAGACACTCTAAACCCAGTGGCGTAATAATAATAATTTTCTAGTTTACAAATTAATCAAAATCCTCCATTTGTTTGGACGTGTGTCCAATCTAAATGGGTCATCCATTATAAATTTAATTTTTTAACAATAAAATGTTTTTTGTTTTAGCTAAAAAGGTTACGACTCCCGCTATCAATTATTTTGTTCATGGAAATAACACAGTAATGATGTTTTTAGATTTATGGATTGTAGGACACCCAATTAGACTTTTGCATGTAATTTATACTGTTATTTTGGGCTTTACTTATACAATATTTACATTAATTTATTATTCTGCAGGCGGAACTAATAAGTAAGTCATGTCTTAATTTCTATTAATCTACAGCTAATATTTCTCGTTCTTGATTTACAATTTTAACTTTAGACTTACGCTACAGTCACCACACATACGAACTATGGTATGTATATATATATATATATATATATATATATATATATATATATATATACAGGGTGAGTCATGACTGTCATGAGGAACTTTACATACTTCTACCATATGTAGAGTCCCTCAGGAGCATATCATGTGGCCACTAAAAAATGTCAACTCCTCTTCTCTATTAATTAACAGGGTGATTTGTGTAATTGACCATTTATTTCATTTTACTGTAGTGTTTATACGGCTCATTTGATTTTTTTAATTTTTGCATGGTACAGTACACTGCTATCAAGCATTCGACTGGTCTTAGCTAAACTAAAAAATTCCAGGACTGGCTTTGGAAAAATTAATTTAGGGATTCGTATTAAATATTACACCCTGTATATATATATTTTTAAATGCAATAAGTGATTTTCAAGCTACATAAATAGCCAATGAAAACGACATATGCGACAATGTTGTTGCACTTTTATTAAATTTTTAGTGAACGATCAAATCTTACCAAAAATAGAACAACCGTAATGAAGTATCAAATTATAAGGTATTAATTTAAACAAATGTTATAAATTTCAAACATTTTAATTCAAATGAGTTCCTACAACATAATCTAATACGTAGGAAATTAAAATCTTTACTGTCACTTTGTATTATCTCTACGATAGAATCAATTGTTTTTCAATTTTAAATTTTTCTCATAGATCGTATTGGGGCATTATTTTCGATAAATAAAATTGATTAAAAAATCAAACCTCTTGCATGTGTTAGTTTTTGTTGATTGTAAATGATTAAAATTTTATGTTAAATAATAATACATTGCATTAACTGTACTAAATAAAAATAAATCTAAAAAAGTTTAAAATGAAGGTTGGCGTTGACCGTTTGACGTTTCTTGATATTTTATACCCATTGTAATTATTGTCATTATCAATTGTTCTTTATGTGTACAAGAATACATATTTCTTGTGTCATATCTACGTTAAGTACATTGTGTTAGTTTTGGTAGAGCTTTTGTTACTTTCGTTCAAAATGCCACATCAGTTTTCGACCACAGAATATGCAGACATAATATTTGTTTATGGATTCTGTAATGGGAATGGTAGGGCTGCTAGTAGAGAATATCGCAGGAGATTTCCTAATCGTCGAACTCCCAGTCATACAACATTTGGGTCAGTTTTTAATTATTTGCGAGAAAATGGCACTTTTCCTAGTGGACAGAGCGACATGTAGATGAAGCGCAGGAAGATGACATTATGGACGCCGTTACTATGAACCCTACAATAAGCACTAGACAAGTAAGTCGAGAACTCAATGTTACTCAATCAAAAAGAAGTAGAGTCTTACAAAAAAATAATCTATACCCATATCACATTCAATTGGTTCAGCGACTACATGCTGGAGATGAGATCGATAGTGTGGAATTTTGTAGATGGATTAACAATAATCGACCAACGCTATACAGGACACTATTTACAGATAAAGCCCAATTTACCAGAGACGGGATAAATAATTCACGAAATTCACATGTGTAGGCAGAAGAAAATCCCCATGCTATTCGAGAACGTCGTTCTCAGTTAAGGTTTTCGGTTAACGTGTGGATTGGTGTCATAAGTAACCAATTAGTAGGTCCTCACTTTTTTGATGGTCCTTTAACAGGGCAGGTCTATTTGAACTTTCTACAAAATATTTTGCCGAATTTGCTTGCCAACGCGAACGTTGCTATCCGAGGGATGTATTTTCAGCATGATGGGACACCCCCACACTTTTTACTGGCAGTGAGACAACATCTCAATAATGTTTATGGCAACAGGTGAATATGACGTGCAGGTCCTATTTCGTAGCATTCAAAATCCCCTGATTTCAATCCCGTTGATTACCATATTTGGGGACGATTGAAGCAACTAGTTTACGCAGTGAATATTAATAACCGACAACAATTAATTGATAGAATTATACATTGTTGTAATACTATTAAAAACGATCCCCAGAGTATCCGTAATTCAATACGTCAATTAACAATTCGGCAACAAACATGTGTACAGGCTGCAGGGTTCCATTTCGAAAATCTATTTTGAATTATTTTTATTTTGTTACCATTATTGTATCTTTTCCAGTTCTAATTTATGGGTTTATCATAACTATGTACATATTTTTAGTTTTTTTTTAAATTGTTCTTCGTTATTGTTAGTAGTTACTGTTTTTTGTTGTGCAGTGACTCAGTTTATCATTTCAATTAAAATGTTTGAAATTTATAACATTTGTTTAAATTAATTACCTTATAATTTGATACTTCATTATGGTTGTTTTATTTTTGGTAAGATTTAATCGTTCACTAAAAATTTAATAAAAGTGCGACAGCATTGTCGCATATGTCGTTTTCATTGGCTATTTATGTAGTTTGAAAATCACTTATTGCATTTTAAAAAATATATATACAGGGTGTAATATTTAATATGAATCCCTAAATTAATTTTTCCAAAGCCAGTCCTGGAATTTTTTAGTTTAGCTAATACCAGTCGAATGCTTGATAATAGTGTACTGTATCATGCAAAAATTAAAAAAATCAAATGAGCCGTATAAACACTACAGTAAAATGAAATAAATGGTCAATTACACAAATCACCCTGTTAATTAATAAAGAAGAGGAGTTGAGAAGTTGCTGTTATCTTTTAATATTATTTTTTTAAGCGAGCTTCTATACTCGCGTTGCATATTAATTTTCTCTTTAGTAAAATGCAGAGGCGATCGTCACGAAATTAGCGACTCAAAATGCACTGTTAAGTGGACAAAAACTTGCTAGAATAAAAAAAGGTTTGTAAATCGATGATTGTAAAAATAAAAAATAATAAATAAATAAATAAAAAAATTACTATTCAATTTTAAAAATATTTTTTTTATATTTAAAAATACTGAAAGCATAGTATGAAGCTTGCTGCTAGTCTACAGTACTGCCTACTGTACTACTTTTTTTATCGTATGTTTATTGGATGATTATAAGTAAAATTGATACGGTATTTCATTATGGCTTTCCATTAAATAATTTTAATGCGTCATTACATTTTTTAGATTTCTTACCCTCTGTTTTTCAAATGACTATCCAACCGATAGTATTAAAGTATTGTTTACAAATGTGGCCAAATTAAGATTGTCCGTAGATGGAATGTCATAGGCAATATTGGCCGGAGAACACATGTATATAAGGATGCATTGGTTGGACAACACAGCCTTTGTGCTACAATTTATCAAATGGTTTTGAAATATATAGTAAAAGAACTTAGTAAACAGGTTGCACACGAAAAAAAAGAAGAGGATTATGTAGATGACTCAGAAGAGATTAAAAGAAGACGAGATAATATGAAGAAAAGCCGTCAAGAATTATTTAAGTCTTGTTTTAGAAATATTAACAGTAAAATTCTACATCATACAAGTTCTTGATGAACACAGCATTTCAGCGATCATCTCAGTTTAAATTATGTTGAAGGAAATCATAGAGAATCATAGGAAATCGTAGAAAATCATATAAAAATATAGAAAAATCATAGAAAATTATGGAAAATCATAGAAAATCATAAATTATAGAAAATGATAGAATATAATAGAAAATCATATAAAATTATAGAAAACCATAGAAAATCATAGCAAATCATATAAAATCATAGAAAATCATAGAAAATTATAAAAAATCATAGAAAATCATAGAAAATTATAGAAAATCATAGAAAATCGTAGAAAATCATAGAAAATTATAGAAAATCATAGAAAACGTAGTAAATCAACTAAACACCTTAAAGCCCCAACTAGAAAAGAAGTGGCAAATGCCAGCCAAAAACTTAAAAATAATAAAGCCCTAGGAATCCACTGACTCTATTCTGAAATGTATAACAAATGTGGTGACCAACTTTTGATAGCAATCCATAAACAAATAGTACTTATATGACAGAGCGAATTGACACAAGACGAGTGGCTAAAGGGAATAAAATGTTCGCTATATAAAAAAGTAACCCATTTGTTGCAAGAACTATAGAGGTATTATACTACATACCTATAGAGGTTTTATACTACATACCTGCATATAAAACATTCGGCAATGTACTTTTTGAGAGTTAAACTCAAATATATATATATAATATATATATATATATATATATATAAATATATATATATATATATATATATATATATATAATATATATATTGTTGTGCATTATCTATGCCAATTCACTACCTGAAAGTCAACTCTACATCAAGCAAGCAAATTAATTGAACCTAGCCTGTAAGACTTGTTCACCCTTTAGAATTATATTAGGGTGTAACAATTCATTGGAGCGAGGTGTATTAATTCGTGTGTAAACAGGAATCACTCCAGACTATTCCTTTCCCCCTTATAGCACTCTGATGCGCGATAGAAGTACACCTATCAGCCAAATGCTCTTAATGTGGGAGTCCTGGGTAATAGAACTCCAATATGGTTCCCTAACCGATTAAAATTCAGGCTAGTGTTAAGCGCTTTGTTCTTGTTGTCCTCTTGAATTGTCCGCTAAACTAAAATTGCTTGCTTGAGTCTCAAACCTCCCTGCACCCAGTTCGGAGGCTCGGTGCTTAAGGGTTTGGCCCAACGAGCCCGGGATTTTTAGGTTTTATTATTTTTTTGTTTGACCTTGCGCCCGTTTTTTTTAAATTTTTTTGGTGGCCGAAGCCGTTTTTTATGTTTTTTTGTAACTTTTTATATGTATATATGACGATATTCTGTATATATATATATATATATATATATATATATATATATATATATATATATATATATATTAGTATAATGGTAAGGTTAATTGGGTTAGCAGCTGAACCTTACCATTATACTAATTAATAATCGGACAGCTGTGATCATTCTTCGTGTATATATATATAATATATATATATATATATATATATATATATATATAAACTGATCGAATCTTTTTGTTTTAGAGATGGATTTACATTTATTTATAAAATAGTAGATTGGACAAAGCCAGGGCCCACTGTAGGCACGTGCTTCGGTGTGATAGTCTTCCTGATTATTCTTCATCTGCTCATGTTCCTATTTTCTTCCTGGCGAAGAAGTCTTCAAGAAAAATATTGCGGAAAAGAAGTCAATGTAACTATAAAGGATTCCAAACAACAGGCTGCGTATGTTAATGAAGCTATGTCAAACGATATAGTTTGAGAATATATAATTTGATGGGGAGCATAGTTAGTTCTGTCGTGCCATATATACAGCTAGATACAGACTTTTTTCACAAATTAATCACTTATTATATCCAAGTAAAATACTTTTACTATATGTAAAATAACACAAAGGATGTATTCTACTTAGAGTACCAAAACCTACCTATCTATCTTACAAATCTATCGGAATTTATAGACGACATATATATATATATATATATATATATATATATATATATATATATATATATATATATATATATAAATTCATTTATGTTTGGATAAAGTCTCCTTGTAAAAGCCAAAGACTAATACATTGAAATTTACAAACAAAATTTACACCGTCAAAACTTTAGCCACAACTTGTATCCTATACAGGATGGTCCTTGTATAAGTAATTGTACAAAAAGAAACCGCAGATTCTACACTTTAAAATATTACGATTAAAGCCAAGATTAAAGCCATTTTGCTTTAATAAAATCTTGATATTAAAAAATATACAGGGTGTTAAAGTGGAAATTTAAAATTTTATTTTTCACTATAACTTTCATGTTTGTATTTTATCATAACATTTATGTATAAAAATTTACAACAGGTTAGTGTTGAATATCAGGAATTATAATTTGATGCATACTTTGATATAGCTAATAGAGGGCCCCACATATGCCACATACGTGGCACCCATTTGCTCTTAACTTTTTTATGCTTCAAGTTATCGGTATTTTTAATAAAAAATACATTTAAAGATACATTATTTTAACAAAAAAAAACAGGTATACCTGTTAATAACTTCAAAACTTATTGACAAATGAATTAAAGAAAATGGTGGACATATTGAACACTTACTTTGACAAAAAGTTTATTGTTATTTAGTTTAACTATTTCTTAATTTGGTTTGTAAATAAAATGTTTTGATTATGACTTTAATTTAATACAAAACGTAAAATGTGTGATGTAAAATCCAATTATTCTGTTATTTATCAAATCCTATTATTTTATCCTGCTGATATATTTATTTTATTTAATAGTTCGTTAACTATTAACTTTATTAAAGGTATTTTATATCAAAATTCAGAAGCATTAATGTTTTTTCTTTAATTTTGTTTCGTTGCCTGGAGTAATTGCGATAAATAAGAATTATGCAGTTGATTTCTAAATTGCGATTATCTTGAAAACTGTTGAGTTTTAAAGTTATTAACAAGGATACCTTTTTTTTTGTTAAAATAATGTATCTTTAATATTTTTTATTCAAAATATCAATAACTTAAAGAGCAAAAAAGTTAAGTGCAAATGTATGTCACATATGTGCCGCCCTCTATCAGCTACATCAAAGTGTACATCAAATTATAATTTCTGATATTTAATAGTACATAGTTGTAAATTTTATACATAAATGTTGACAAACATGAAAGTTATAGCAAAAAATAAAATTTTAAATTTCCACTTTAAAACCCTGTATCTTTCTTAATATCAACATTTTATTTAAGCAGCTTGACTTAAATCGTAATATTTTAAAGTTTAGAATCTACGGTTTCTTTTTGTACAATTACTTAAGGACCACCCTGTATATCCATTACTTCCTGCTTCTATTATCCATTGATACAGATTGTGTATATTTC